GGGGCACGGGGGCGGGGGAGGGCAGTCGCAGATGGTCACAGAGCTAACATTTACAAATTTTCCAATCATTAGCAAACCAATATTTTGAGTTGAGTGAAAGGTTCATTCGATGGTTTTTTCTGCTTCTTTCCTTTTTGAGGGAGAAAGGAAACATTTACAAATTTTCCTACTTTACATGTAGAAAGGAAGGAGTGGAACTTGATATCCGGCATTTTATAGTTTAGTTCAAGAGAAAACCTGCATGCATTAATATTAGACCTAACTCTTTACTTCGGCTCTTTTTGTAAACAGGCATACAAAATAGCAAACTACTACCACACTACCAAATTCATAAAAGCAATCAAACCAGTACCATAGGCATACAAGGGTCAGTTTTGGAAGAGAGGGCAGTACTTTTTTTCCCCTTCTTCTCAGGGCTGACAGGTGAATAAATAACGTCATCAACACTAAATAAATAAGAAAACAAAAATAAAAATTCTCATGCAGCACCAGTAGTAGTAGGGAATTAAACATGGATTAATAGGGGTTGTTGTTGCCATTGTCAGTTCTGTCGCCTCTGATTTGACCGTGACTGTCGTCACCGCCGCCGTAACAGTCATCGTTGCTGCCGTGACCGTTGTCGTTGCGGCCATGAATAACTATGTTCTGAAGTTGAATCTGGTGATATCGCTCACGCAGAACTAGAGTTGCCGATATCCACGTGATGAATGGAATCCAACTCACGATGACCGATAGAAACGAAAGGAACCGCCAAGTAGTCATGATGCCATTCATCCCAATCGCCGACACTTCTCTGCCCTCAGGCACCGTCTCGGACCCCAAACCTCCACCCCCACCACCTCCGCCCATAACCACTCCTTCCGAACCAGAGTTTTCCCCGCGAAGCGAGCCTCCTCTCCCCACGAGCACCGTTTCGGATCCCAAACCACCACCCCCACCACCTCCGCTCATAGCCACTCCTTCCGAACCAGAGTTTTCGCAGCGAAGCGAGCCTCCTCTCCCCACGAGCACCGTTTCGGACACCAAACCTCCACCCCCACCACCTCCGCCCAAAGCCACCCCTTCCGAACTAGAGTTTTCCCGGCGAAGCGAGTCTCCTCCCTCCACAGGCACCGTTTCGAACCCCAAACCTCCACCCCCACGACCTCCGCCCATAGCCACTCCTTCTGAACTAGAGTTTTCTCCGCGAACCGAGTCTCCTCCCTCCACAGGCACCGATTCGAACCGCGAGTCTACACCATGCTCGCTCACCCTTGCATTCTCCCTCACGGATCCACACCACCATCCAAGCCTCTTGTGATGGAGGTACCCAATTCGTAAACTATTCAATGTCCAGCCGAGAACGAGATATAGGAGGTGCGAGTTCGGTGTGAGCTCTTCAAAAAACGTAGTTAAGAACTGATACATAACGAAGATCATACATATTGTTTGGAACAACAGAGGACCAAAATGTTTGTATGAAAAATGCATATTCCACCACTTAAAGCAATATTTGAACAGCTCCTGAAATTCAAAAAGGATTAGTACCAGTTCACTATACGTCAAAAACAGGTGGAAGCCACTCGAGCCGGACTCTTTACGGGGAGTTGGCTCGGCCGCCGCAGTGGGGCATCTGCTCAAATCCTTCTTCTCCGTCATTATCAACTCATTAATCAGAGTCAAGAAATTAACTAACACTGAGAGATGTAAGGCTAGAATGAGTATTTTTCCAGCTATTTTTTTAGCTATGTTTGCCATGAGAGAGGAGCTAAAGAAAGAATAGAACGAAGGCAGTTAAGAGTTAAGACATAAAAGAAAAAAAACCCGGTTGTATGAGGCCGGGCACGTACCCGGAGGACGTTCAGTATTAGTTGGGCATGAGAGAGAGAGAGAGAGAGAGAGAGAGAGAGAGAGAGAGATCGGCCTAGCTAGACTTGTTGTGTAAATTGTTCCAAGTTGAAGTTCGATCTCAAGTGGGCCTCCCATGTTTGGTTTTGAACTGTGTGTGTGAGAGAGAGAGAGAGAGGTGGGATGAATAAAGAGTTTGTAAAGAGTTTGTGTGGGTAAATTAAGGAAAATAGTAGAGAATAGACTAATATGAAAAGCTTAATTTTGATTGAGATGATTTTTTTTTATGCATTTATAATAAAGAGACGAATAAATCCTCACCTATATACCTTATTAAAATTTTTCATCACTATTGATTTTTTATTAAAATACTATCTAAATATAAATTTAAGTTTTGACCCACTCAAATACAAACTCAAATAGATTATCAATTTAAATCATAATTCAAATGTGTATATCTAAACACAAACTCAAATTACAACTTTAACTTAAATTATAATTCAAATTCAACTCAAAATATATTTACTGTAACTCAAAAATACAAACCGAACAAGTTCTTAATCATGTGCTTTTAGCATTGGGGCATCAATTCCTTCTTTTCCGTTATTATTAACTCAGAGTCAAGAAATTAACTAACATAAGAGGCAAAATATTATAATAGGCAAAACATAAGAAGAAATAAAAGAAAAAAAGCCCGATTATAATGTTCCCGTCTGCATGAGACAGTGACCAGGGACTCTGAACCTGTGCATGACGTACAATTTCCAAAATATTAGATACATAAGAGGCAAAATCCATACAATCAGGTTGTCACACACAAGCCCTTGCAAAATCCATACAATCAGCTTTTAGTTGTCACACAGAAGTTATCGCACGAAAATCAGCTTGCAAAAGCCATCCCACTACAACAAAAAAGCGTATTTTTGGTCCTCACAAAATTAGTTGTCACAAAAAATTTGACGTAAATAATGTATTTGTGACGACAGAATTTTGATATGTCGTTGTTAATATATTAGTGACGATTATCGTCGTGAATAAGTCGGTACAAATGTTCTGTCAAACTTGTCATTAATGATGACGTGTTCAGTCATATTTATCGTCACAAAAGGTATATGTCGTCGTTTGTAATTTAGACTATTTGCGACGACGTTTTTCAGATTTGTCGTCGCAAAAAATGTTTTCCTTCTTTACCTAATTTCCTAATAATCTTAATTATTAATATATAAATTAGAAGAAAATTTAATAATAAAAAAACTCAATAAAATTGATATTTGCTAATAAAAGATTCATATAAAAAAGTAAGTACAATAGTAAGATAAGTCTTAAAAAGTAAATTAATCAATTCATATAAAAAAGTATTGATAATAAAAAAACAAAAACAGATATTTTAATCTATTAAATTTTCCGCATCGTCATCTTCATCCTCGTCTTCTTCATTTCCCTCTTGTGGCGGCGGCAGACGAACCCCCGGAACGAGTTGCTCTTATTTATCTCCCATGCTTCTCTTGCACGGCCCTAAAAGAGTTGCATTATTTCAATCAAAAA